TAAATCTTGCTCCAAGAGCCACGGGATGTAAAAGAAACACCTCAAAATTGTATGGATCCCGTGGCTTGATGCTTTGTATATAGTTAGGTTGAGCGAACTCCTTTTTGCTTTGTATACAATTAGATTAGATTGAGGCTTAAATAAATGCAAGTATAACAATAGAGAAACAAATCCACTTTGGACTAACTCTATTTGATATTCATAGTTCTTATTTTCTTTTTGTTTTAGTTCACCGAAGAACAACAACTCATTGCACTGTTTCTCACCTATGGTTTGGTGATTACCAACACCGTGTCGGACATCGATTACAACTCGGGGTACGTCTGCCTCTATTTTTCTGTTTAATTTTAATCATTATTTTAAATGATTCAAATTCCGTTATACTGCATTTATGCTTTTGAATAAAAAACTGGAATAAAAAAAACAGCTTTATTCCTTTCAAATTTAAGTTAAAATTTAGAGATAATACTCAAACCAAGTTTAAACATTGATTTTAGTATCTCGGGCTAATTTTTGGGTTATGACTTACAGAATTTGATTGATGTTAAGTAAGTTAGTCTAATCCCAAACATTAATAACTAGAATATCATAGTCACCCATCCTAATCTTAGATTGTTAAGTTATGGCTCTTATGGTTCAATTCTTGATTTATCCATTGAATATGATTGAATCAAAGAAGTTAATTTTAAAAAATAGGCTTATTCCTTTTAAATTTGGGGTAAACTTAAGAGCTTATATTCAAACAAATTTAAACACTTACCATGATATAATATGACTTCATTACTTTTTGGATTTTTTAGACTTCCGTAGTTTGATTTCCTTCAATTTGTTTTTGAGATGATATTTTTAACTTGAGAGGAACCAAAATGCTGATTTGACTCTTTTTAATTGGTATTAAAAAACATTGTGAATTAAGCAACAAAGATGTGAAATTGTAGCATGGATCAAGGCATTCTTTTCTGAGAAATTTACCTAAATAGGATTAAAACATAATGACTTTCCCAATATAGGACCATATGTTTTTATTTCCCAATGTAGGACTTTTGGTCATTATCATGTAGTCATTATTCAAGTAAATGTCCATCATTACTGGACATTATTCTTCCCACTAGGTCATTATTAAGTCCTATTTAGGGAATAGAAAAGTTTAAGTCCTACATTGGAAAAGACATTATGTTTTAGTCCTATTTGGTGCAAATTTTACTTCTTTTATTATCATTTGTTTAAATGTTAATCTTTTAATATGACTTCATTACTTGGGGTGCATGTGCACTCTTTACAAACCAGAGGTATATTATAAGTTACTTTTAAAACCACGAAGGGTGTTGGAGCTCCTTTTTGAAAACATAGGGGGCTGTGGTGCATTTCCCCCCTTTAAGTTAATTGTTAAAGATTGTGCTTTCATGTTTTAGAATTGGGAAGAGCAACATCTCAAGCTATGTTTCAGAATATTTTCCCTACAATTGATATAAGCACTATGAGTGGGTTGTGGACCTCATGACATACATCTTAATATTTTTTTTCAATTTCGTACTGCATGGGATCATGTACATCATCTTAGTTCTTCCATTTAGACATTCATCAGTCATCAGCCATGTTGCAGGTGATGCTTTATCATTGCCAAATGATTGTGCTGCTTAACTATGACAAGGAGAAGAAACTTATTGACTTCAAGGACAGCTAAGTTGTGTGATCCACTAATGAAGCAAACTGTGAGCAGTAATTTTTTTAAAATGATAGATGGAAAATAGTTAGTTACAAAGCCTCGAGTATTAGCTAAAATGTTAGCATTTTGTACTTAAAGTGAAAGAAGGTTAAGGTTTAGTAGTTCTCAAGAGTAAAATGAGGTATTTGAATTGATTCAGATGAGTCCAGAGTTTATTAATTCCACAATCTAAATTCACAAGAATAAAATGAGGCATTTTGTGTTTGTTAATATTGTTGCTGTGGAAGAGGTTATGCATATTTCCCTCTATACGTTTGATGAAGCAATGAATGAATAAACAGAGCACCCTAAGAATTTCAAAAAAAAAAAAAAACAAAGCACCCTAGCTTAAAAAAAAATACAGAGTTTATTCCTTGGATTGTCAACATTTCATACTCTTGACAATCATTTTGTTTAGTCTACGAAGTGTATAATTATAGAGTTTATTAGTATATAAACAAATACACATTTTTTGTTTCATTTTTTCCTAGGACAACAAATACACTTTTTTTTTATTTTTCAATTATTTTCTTTATGTAATATTAATAGCTAATTTTTAAAATAAAATTTGATATAGGGAGTGTCGAATTTTTATTTGTGTTATATTAGAAATTTGGTGTAGATTATTTATTTTATGAGGTGCGTTGTGAGACATAAACCTAATACTAAATGTAGTTTGTGAAATTACACATGGCCATTAAGCTAAAAATGCTAAGTACGGGTAAGACATTAGATTTAAAAAGGGAGAATTTACTTATCGGGAATTTTAGTTTGGAGAACCCGTACTTAGCATTTTTAGCTTTATGTTTGGGTCCTGACAAAAAGAAAAAAGGCTTTATCTCGAGGCCTTAAACATTGAATTAAAGTTTATTTTTTACTTACATTAAAGTTGGATTCTCCGTATATGAACTAATAATTTTAGAAAGATTTCAAAGTTTATAGAATATTTTGATAACATTACATGGATTTGGGCTTTTGAATCTATGTTCATATTAAGTTGAGTTTACTGATCAACCATGATCAACCATAATTTCACATTTTCAGGTTATGAGAGAATGTAATGAGACAGAGTGATAAGGAATTTCCAAAGAGATCGTTAAGAAATTTCCAAAAGTGATATGTTAGACACTTTAACTGTACTGAACAATTAACATATAGAGTATTAGGCGTAGGATGAAATTTGAAATTAACTTTTTTATGTTTTTTTATTTGAGATTAATATGTACATCTTGCCCCTTTGTAATCAAATTCTACTTTTGAGACTAAAAGAGAATGTAATAGAATAGAGTGATAATAAATTTCCAAATGGAGTGTTAAGAAATTTCCAAAAGTGATATGTCGCACACTTTAATAGTATAGAATTCTTATCATCATAGAGCAAATTTGAAATTTCTCTTTTTTATATTTTTTTTTGGAATTTGAGATTGATATGCAGACCTTGCCCCTTTGCAATCTAATTCTACTTTTCAAAATCCAATTTCAATATTTTGATGTTAATCTCATACCAAAAGTTTCTAAAGTGTGATGGATTCTTAGTGTTTGAGCATTTTTTTTTAAAAAATAATCTACATTTGATTTCATTTTTAAAATGTTAAGGATATAGTTTTATGCAATTCTTAATCTCGCTATATTTTCCCTTTAGATTTGAGTAAAAGTTTATCTTTAAAATTTGATATTTAAAATTATAATGTTTTGAATTACACCATCAATTCAATACTGAAGTGTGTAATTTTATTTGATTTTGAGGTATATTACGTGATCATGTGGTAATCTTTTTCTACTCAATTTTATATTTATGAAAATTTTGTCATAGTTATTATTAGACTTCATAAAGAACAAGGCAGAATGTTAATTCATAGCATTTCTTTTTCTAAGCTAGAGTGTGGTGAATATAATTGATTTTGTGTTTCATTTTTTGCACGAAAGAGATGCAATAAAATTGGGTTAATGAAAATAAATATGTGCTTTTGGTTTAGGAAAACATGGTTTATCAATCTATCTTTTACAATAAAATTTAAATCAAGAAAAAAATTGAATCCTAAACCATTTACAAAGTGTTTAAATTTGTAACAACCTATTCTAGATTATAAGTTCAATTTGATCCAAACAATATTTATTAAAGTAAAAGTTTTGGTCTTCTGGACTTTTGTTTTTGGGCATCGTACAAATTTATACTCCTTGGATAGTTACTCTTTTGAGTTTTATTGTATGTTTATTTGTGTTTGGTATTGGAATGTTGTACGCCTTTTATTTTACTTTCAAATGTATAGAGTATGTGTATGTATGCGTGTTCATGGAAATAAATGAAACATTAACACATAGAACATTAAATGTACCCTTGAGATATGATAGCGTGTTTTTATTTATTGATACATTATTAAATGTTCTTGAGGGTGTACTCTAATGTTTTCTGTATTTATTGGATATAAGTGAAGTATAATTTTTGTTATGAAGAAAATATATATTCTAAAATAACCAAGTGAATACTCACTCCGTCCCAAATTATTTGCCACATTTGCTTTTTCAACAGTCGCGAGAACTTTTGTTTATTTCTACGTTTTCATTAGTTATTTGATAAAATAAAATATTCTTGACACCTCTTATTTCGAAGAACTTTTCATTTAGTTTTTTGATATGTAATTTTTATTTTTTATTTCTTTACCAATATGTAAATAAAATAAATTGAAAAATTTTGATATTTTGCCTCGGTAATAGAAATGTGACAAATAATTTGGGACGGAGGGAGTAAAATTTAATTTTATTCAAATTTGTATACAAATATTTTATTTTTTGAAATTTTGAAATTCTACATTTTGAAATAAATTACTTACCGTGCGCTGCACGGGTAAAATCTAGTTGTATTTAAAGTTGTTAAAAAATTAAAAACAGTTGTGTTTGACATATTTAGTGTTTGTTATACATTAAAAGTTAATAGTTGTAATACAATTGGGCAATTTATTTGGCATGGTCCGGGTTTTATCGATCCGGTCCTTGTCTTATTCGGCCCGGCTTCTAGTCAATGCATCAGCTCTTATTTGGTCCTGGTCTAGTCGTGGTCCAAGTGGATCCGGTCCAGGTTTAGACCGATACACACCCCTAGCCACAATAGCACCGGGCCAGAGCAGAAGGTTTACCGTGGGTAGAAACTATTAAGGCTTCGTTTGGTAATAGCGTTTTCGATTAGCGTTTTGGATAAAATTTTAATGGTGTAGATTAAATCTAAAAACGCTAACGCTAAAGGCTACCGTCGGATATCTTTTTGAAAACGCTAACGCCAATCTCTAACGCTGATGCCAAACGGGGCCTAAGTTTACTCGATATGAAAATATTATCGCAGCATTTATGTCAAAAGAAGTGCGGTGAACGTTATAAAGGTATAAACCCAATCTTGAATCAACCACCTCTTCTCTATTAAATTCTGCTACCAGATACAAAATTAACAGAAGAAAATGTTCCTCCGCTCTCTATATTTCTTTCCTTCTCTATAATTCTTCTGTACAAACAAATACGGAGTACAAAAAAGGCGAATCCCTCGCCCCCGGCTCGACCCGGTTTAGCGCGACCGGTTTAGGCGGTTTGGTTTCCAGAAATCAATCGTGCCAGCATAGAAGCATGACCACACATCTCCTAATGATATACAGCCGCGCCCTTTGTTCTCTGAGCACGCCTCCGATCCCCCGGCTCGTCGAGATCGCCTTCATCCCCTTCGACGACGCTTTTCCGGCGGCGGCACTGTTCATCTCCGGCGACTTCATGGAGAAGAGAATTTTTTTTCTTAATTCACTTGCCTGGTTTTTAAAAAAAAAGATTTGGGAGGAGAAATTGAACTGAATGAAGAAAGAGAAATGCTAGGGATCGAGGGGGAGAGGGGTGTTTGGAGTTTATATATATATATATACTGCTTCAGTTCCAGTGTATTTGTTCAGTCTGACTCAAAAAGTTAAACCGGACAAATTTTGAACACCAATTACTCCTAACTTGTATTGCATATTAGCATAATGAAACACAATTTTGTAAGTTCTCATTACGATAAACTCAATAAAGTCATTTTATGTTAAAAATACATTTTAACCAGTTTGACTCAAAAAAGTCAAAATAGACAAATATACTGGGACGAAGGAAGTATATAGAGAGCAAATATAAATGTGTACAAAATGTATGTGTGGAGAGTGAATGGCCACTTCCCACTTGAGATTCCAATGGCCCACCAAAGCAAACACAAATGAAAGTTTGGGTGTATTTTAGTGTGGGAGTAAAGTGTTGATTAGGAAGGAGTAGCATAATATCAACAAAGACACCAGATGAATACAATCCCGTATGGCCGTATTTAATGGATTTTTGTCCTCTGTCTCTGATTTTGGCAAACAATGCTCGTGTTTTAGTCACCAAATTGTCCCTTCACAAACGGTTATAATTCAACACAAGTCTTCAAATCCATTTCTTTGTTCACTCATTGTTGTTGTTTTTTTAAATGGAATAGTTGCTTATCTGTTCATTTCTTGACCTTACTCGATCGAAGTTTTTTAAACTTTGACCGCGATAAATAGAAAATCATGCGTTGTGTTATCATATAAATTTTGCTAAAAGACTGTATTGTACGAGTTGCAATGAACGGGCGGACGTATAGCCCCGGGAGTAATGCAAAGTATTCCGAATTTATAGACTGCGAGGACGGCCGGAGGGATTGGAAAGGGGGCACGACCACCGGGCAAATTAGACCACTAGATGTCTAGAACTAGATAGCTAGGCCACTTGAAGAGTGAAAATAAAACCAAAGAGGAGAGGCCCCGTGCATAGGAAAGAGTGGGAGTTTTGATTTTCAAATCCGCAGTACTAGCACGATATATACTGTGTAACTGGTTGTACGATTCTTCTCGTACATCTATGGCTTCATTTACGAGTAATGGAATACTCATTTTTGAACAACTGATTACTTATTTTCGAGTGCTTATTTTGGAGTAACTGAATACTCATTTTTCTAATATTTAGTTATGCCTAAAAATGTGTATTCAGCTTCTCAAAAGTGAACATTCAATTACTCACCATATATCCCGATGTATGGTATAGGTACTCGCCGTATTGGTGAATCATTAGTGATCCGTTAATGATCATTCGTGGTCTGCTATATTGCGCATCCAGTCAAATTTTATCATTTTGATTGTGGATTAACACTATATTTGTTCGATCTACAGGAAAATAAAGTAATTTAAACATTACATAAAATTAGTAGATGGTTGGTCCAAAAAGCGTACGCTATGACAATTTGCTTGGGACCCAACAAAACAGATCGATCAAACAGGTTGCTAAGAGAATGCTATATCATGTTCATAGAAACGATTAAAAGATAGAGTACTTTAACATCTTGTCCACATGCACACACAGTAGCAAATGATGCAGAGGGTGTTACGGTAGCTATTGGGAAAATTTTTGTAAACATAAAAATGCAAAGAAAAAAACTACACATGTTTACGTAGTTCGGGGAACTCTCATACTTTGCGAGGCCCAGTCTGTGTAATAGCCCTTAAGCAAATCACTAAATGCAAGTTACACCACTACATAACAACAAGGACAAAGGTGTTGACAGTCCTCTCCTTAAGCTCAGGTTCAACTTTTGGATTTTACGATCTCTTTCACGTTGAAGATCTCCTTTTTCATGTGTATCGCAACTTCTTCGCGTAAAGATCGCTTTGGGATGCGACAGAAACACCTTTAGATCATGTATTTTGTGTTTTTCCCTCACAATTGCGCCAAAGAATCCGGCCTTGACCTTTGTTTCAATTATATATATATATATATACACACACACACACACACACACACACACACACACATATATATATATATGAGTAAATTACATAATTAGTCCTTTATAACAGCGGGGTTTCCATATTTGGTCCTCTATTATCAATTATTATCCCAGTGGTCCTTCTTTTATGGGTAAGTTTACACAAATAGTCCTTTTTTCATCTTCTATCATATTGGTGTTAATTTGAAGGCTAAAAGTATAATTTGACATCAATCTTAAGTCCATTGATGTATTCTCATATTGGTTAGACAAATAACACAGAAATAATGACTATTATTGTGGGCTACAATTCTGATGAAAGACCACATTTGTAGACTATAATTGTAGTATAAAGCGACTAAAATTCACAAACGACACATCTGTGCGGCTTTTGGATTTGTATATGACAAGAAAGACATAAAATCATTGTAAAAATACACTTTTAACCCTTAAATTAACATCAATATGGTAGAGGATAAAAAAAGGATTATTTATGGAAAGGTACTCATAAAAGAAGAACCACCTGGGTAATATTTAGTAATAGAGGACTAAATATGGAAACCCCCATGTTATAAAGCACCAACTATGGAATTTACTATATATATATATATGTATGTATGTATGTATGTATGTATGTATGTATGTATGCATGCATGCATGCATGCATGTATGTATGAGTATGTATGTGTGTGTGTGTGTGTGTGTGTGTGTGTGTGTATAGGCCAGTTCACGTGAGAATGCACATTGTAGAGAGAAATGAGAATAAAATCTAGACTTTGGATCTGATGCATCGTGTGGCTCAGATTGCATCCTGCGCTCAAATTTTGAGATAGTGCATTTTCAAAGGATTTTGTTGTATTTCGACATGACGCATTTTCAAACCAATTTGTGCACCTAATTTTGATGTAATCCTAACGCTTAGATCTCACAATCTAAAGCACCAGATTCATTCTCATTTCTCTTCTAAGATCGCATCCTCACAAGAACCAAAATATATTTCTCTATCTCTCTCTCTCTCTCTCTCTCTCTCTCTCTCTATATATATATATATATATATATATATATATATATATATATATATATATATATATATATATATATATATATATATATGAACATCCTCTGCAAGTAATTGCATCTGGTGTTATTTTTTACGCATTTTAGAGTTACAGCATTCTGCCAAGTATGCGCTGTAACATCCTCTGCATGTTTACACCAGATATGTTTACGCAGTTCGGAGAAATTCTCCTAATCTGCGGCGCCCACGTATGTGTAATAGCCCTCCACTAAATCACTAGATGCAAGTTACACCGATACATAACAACATGATGAGACACACTTCTCCGAATTGTTATGACAAAACTTCTAATCTAGGATTTCTAGCCCGAACTCTGTTCAGATTCGCTTTGGCTATCACATCTCCACCGAGATCACGAGGCCAAACGTGTTGGCAGCCCACTTGTTCAGCTCTAATTCATCTCCTGGATGTCACAATCTGTTTGGCGTTGAAGATTTCCTCCTTCATGTAGATCGTAACCTTCTTCACGCATGGGAAGCTCCGGGACGCAACAGGAATGCTCTAAATCAGCGTATATTCTTTGTTTTCCCTCTCAATCGCTCCAAGTAATTCCCAGGGACCTGCTGTGTTTTTATAGGCCTCTCTTAACAGAATCCTAGTAGAATAGGATAGTAGAAGTTAGCTTGAACTCTACTTCCTTAATCTTGATCCACAAGTAGCCTAAAGAGTTGGGATTCCTTACCATGTACAGCTGGAGTTGTTATCATGTAATCATAGTCCCAATAGGTCTCTAATTCAGATTGCAACTTAAAATCCCGTGCTCAGACCTCTGATCCCGAACAAGGTGTTGCAGCATCGTGCTGTAGCATCTTCTGTGTCAACCTCGAAAACTGCAGCAACTCTAGAAGTCTAAATAAATTAAACCTCTCCTAACAAATAGAGGTTTCTACCTAGTACAATAACTAACAAATATGAGATTCTATTTTGCCAAAATATTAGCCAACATCATGGAACCAACAGCTTGGCCACGTGTCAATCACGTGACGAGGTGATGACTTTTTGTCTTCTAGCGTTTGTCTCCTTCCTCTGGATTTTATGCTCTGTGGTTGTCTCCTTTGGCGCGTAATGTTTGCCCAGGTTATTTGAATACATTTGTTGGTTCAAGGGATCTAGTCTGACCAGATCGTTTCCGAGCGCTACCTTCCAAATGTGCCATGTTGTTGGTATGTATACAAGTCTTGATGACGCACCCATGTGATTTCTTCGAAGGGATGCCTTGATGATCTGAAGATCTTTTTTTATCAAGACTTGCTTCCTAACCGGTAAACGTCATGGGTGCCAATCCATCCGGGTGGATTGAGACACACCCGATCAGATTTATGCTCACCCCAATTTCCCTTTTAACGAACTATACACGAACCACCCGGTAGGTTCCTGTAGTACGGCTAGTACCCGACCCGGTTCGAGTCCAGGATGGGAATACACCCATCACACACACGTGCACACACACATTATATATATATATATATATATATATATATATATATATATATATATATATATATATATATATATATATATATATATATATATATATATATATATATATAT